GCTCGGGGAAGGCAGGGCCCGGCTCGGGGAGGGAGCGCGGCCGCCGCCCGCCCCCTGCCGGCCGCAGGCGGGAGGAGCCGCTCAGCTGCGCTCAGCCCGGAGCGAGTCCGCAGCCCGGCGCGGGCTGCAGAGCCCTGACAGCTGAATGCAGATACAGCAGGATTTGAAACGGGGTTTTACGGAATGAAACTGGCACTGCTCAAGCTGTGGATCAGGACTTGAGGTGACTTTCGTATTTCGGGAAATACTAACGAAGTTTGTAAGATGTGAAACAACAAAGAAGCCCATCCTCATCATCTGAGGATGCTAACAAAATCCTCCTTCCCACATGCACGTACTAACAAAAACCACACGTCTTGATAAAGCTCTTGGGTTTGTATTGAAGTACAAGGACAGCACACAGACTCCAACACTTACTCCAGTTGCCTGAAGATGTTGCCTGAACTCATCCATCGTCGTGTTTGAGATGCTCATGTCCCTGAACATTCCTTCCAGTTTAGAAGTGAACTGACATCCACATTCAGTCTAAAATAAACAAAATAACTTGTTGTGCTAGCACTGTAAAAACAGAGCTTATGATTTGCGAACTGCAAGACTAAGAATTACTTTATAAATCTCAAAAATTGTATTTATGTACATTTGGTTACTGGAATTCCCATTTGCATTATCTTCAGAACTTTAAAAAGTTTTATTTTTCACATAAGGACCTAACCCTACCCATGTCGAAAGTTACGTTCCTTCTCTGTTCTCTATGTTTGCATTTATAGTTTCTTTTTTAGCTTCCTAGCTCATCTTAAAAAAAGAAAAAATCTGTGAAAGCTTATCAGACCAAGGCATACACTTTTACCTGCTTTTTAACGTGATTCTGGAAAGAGAAACAAAAATCTTGATTTGAATCAGAAAAAAACAACCACCTGTTGTCCTAAGAGTGCATAATTTTACAGGCTTGCTGCAGACTGCCAAGTGAGATGATAAACCTTTTGAGAATCATGGGCACGTGCATATATAGATACAGGGGCACAGACACATTTCAGTCGCACATACAGGACTTTGTGCCTATTTAACACATACTGTGACATACGTGGTAAAGGCAAGCATGGCAGCTTCAGCACCCTGATCACTGTGCAAAGGCACAAGAAAAGAGGGCAGTTCCAGTCCACCAATTCACCTTGCAAATGCACGCCCTGTGCCTTCTGTATCACCGGGCTAGAAGAGGTGGAGAAGTAATTGTGAAGGAATTAATACTGAGAATTTGGAGAAATCTGATACACACAGGCTTCACTCCCTGATAGAACATGAAGGTCAAATGAGGATCGGTGAAGTTCGATTTTAAGATCAAGTCAGTCTGCTTCAGAAGTTCCCCAGACATTTATCACGCTACCTGGGCAGAAGCTGCATTAGACCTCGCTGCAAGGACTGTTCACCTTTAGGCTTTACTTCTTCCTTCTGCATCTCTTGGCCTATTTATTCAGTGCATTGAACCAACTAAGGAAAGCGTATTTCCAGACAGTGATATGAAGACTTTTTTTTTTTTAAAATCTATCTCAAACTACTTAATCAAAAAAGGAATTGAGCATTACCATCAGTCTGCAGAAGGCAGCAGCTAAGAAAACCAATAATGCATGCAATAAAAAAGTTCTACTGTGAATAACAGAAAATCTAGGATAAAAAAGCCTTGTCCTCAAACACGGTCACTTGTCCTCTTATTTGGAAAGTTAAATTTTGAAAAAGAAAAAAAAAAGACACTGTTTTCTAGATTGCCCTCTCATCACGGGTGCTTTCCAGCACTTCCTTCCTTCTATTTGAAAAAAAAATTATTCAGAAAAAACCTTTCACAGTTTCTGTGGGGGCTTTCAAATACAATCTGTAATTACAGCCAAGACGTATCTTATCTATATATCCCTTATGTAAAAACAGAAGTACAAAGTAAGCAGATGCTGTCTTACCTTTAATTTAGAGATCATATTTTTCTCGGAGTCATCTGAAACACTCTTGTTTGTGAGGAGTCGCCTTGCCAAGTGCTGCTTGTAATAGCGTTCAAAAACATCTTTCTCTTGCATAAACCTAAATAAAACCATTGCCTTATCCAATATAGTTTCTACTTCTTGCTCTGTTAGCTGTAAAAGAAATAATTTGCTGGTTTTAGCCTTCCAGCCCGTGTCTTATACAACCTAAACACTTAAGAGTATTCACAGCAAGCAGACGATCTAACAGTAGCCTACAAAGAAGCCAACAAAACTGGTCCAACTTGTAAATGATAGAGCCAAAAGAACAGTGGACAAACTCAGATGAAATGCCCTCTAAAATGCAGTGAAAAACAATTGTGAGGAAGAAGGGAGACAACAGACGGGTAGAGTGCCTGGATTAATAGGGCGTAAGTTCACAGGTAAGCTTTAAAGCATTTTTTAAAAAAGCCCAGATGGAAACCAGTATTACAAGCATGAAAAGTTGGCTTGGAATGCAACTGCAGAACTTACTACACCCTGACTTTTTTTGGAAGGGGTATCTGCCAGAAGTAATCCAAGTACACTGCTTCAGACATGGAGGACAAGCCACACAAAATCCTGGAATCCCCTTGTGCCTTGTACTTCCATAAGCTTGTGTCTGAAGTGTTATGAGCTCAGATGTGTAACATACTTTTTTTAAGGCAGTATTGCCATTTATCTTAATATAAAATAATTCCTAGAAAAGTAGCTTAGTTTAATTTCACCGGAGTTTACACAAGAGCATGATCTTTGAATTTAATTTATACTTACTCCCTTGACTCCCTTTTTCAGCTTATCATCAATAAATAATGAGAGGTACTCTGGAGACCGAGAGTTGAGGTTGAGGAAGTACTCAAAGTCACCCGCAATAGTCTGTTTGAAGAGTCGATCGTTATTGAAAGATTCTTGAAGAAAGCGGTCAAACCGACTCTTCAAATCCAGCAAACCCTTTGAAAAAAGCAAGAGTATTTCCAGTGATGTGAAGTTTTAAGCTCTACAACAGTAATAATAGATGCTGTCAGAGAAGACCGTGTCTACAGTCAGAGATTCTGCAAAGCTATGTTCTGCATTATCAGAAAGTATCTGAAATTTCATTTCCGTTCTTAAATACTGATAGCTGCCATAACCCTCTTAGAGAAGCAATTTTCAGATAAACTGCCTAAAATATTGGTGCAGTTGGCTGTAATGGGCCACTCAAAGATTAAAAACCTTTCTTAATCACCCTCGTTAAACAGGCTGTTTGACTGGATTTTTAAAGCCACAACTTAAAGGAGTTATTTGTTGTACTTGCCGAGTCTTTTCTATTTCAAATAACACCGACAAATTCACTACCATAAACACAGGACACAGGAAAGACAAGGCTAAGCACCCATTAACTGCATCCCTACAGCTACTAAGCAAGTTTGGAAAGAGAAAACACAGCAACCACAGGCCTAATCTTGTTAGGCTTTTTCCCCTCTCAGTTGCAATCCAGGGACATGTTTCTCATGGATCTTTAGGAGTCACTGTGAGCATATGAACGTTAGAAACAAGCAATAGCTGTCCAGTTATCACGGTGTGAATCTCACAGGGCTGAACTGAACCACGTCCTCTGAGCTAGTGATCACATTTTAAACATCATTTTTACAGCTTGCATCATCTTCGCCCAGAGTTAAAACAACTGAGTGCAGAAAGGGGAAGCTTCTTAAAATCACCTGAGCACCTTTCCAAGTATATCGGATACACACAGGGCTTAGACATAACCGAGACAGCACTGGGGGGAGATGGGAGAAAATCTCACTCAAGAGGTAAATTTGTCATGGATAATGGCTGCCCACAAAAACTGCTGAGGTAACATGACCTTGAAGACCTCGGTTTCTTAAGAAATTATTTCTATGTGGTTACTTAAAGAAGTCGTTCAAGAACTACTCAAAGTAGCAGTGATGTTTCTTAGGAACTCATCATCTCACTCAAAGGCATAGTCTTTAGACAAGCCAAGTAACGAGTATTGGAAATCTTAAATTCAAAGTAAATCGCACTATATCTGTTTACCAAGGGCAGCTTATGTCTCCTCTCCAGGAGGACACCACCTGAACAACCTGGTGTTACAGGAGAAACTGTCGGTACTTTAAATTACAGCAGCATGCTAACATCCCTTCAAAGATTTAAATCTAATCCCCTGGCAATGCTCTTGCAGTCACCTCAACAATCATGCACAGGGTTTGGTGACGTCTTGTTGCAGAAGTAGGGCCGGACTACGATGAAGTTTTTTTTTTTCTTGAGGGTATAATGTAGCTTCCTTGTCTGCCTTCTTACTGCTATTAAAGTCCTTGAAAGAGTCAGATTAACAAGGCTGGTATGAGAAGAGCGAGGCAGTTTCTCAATTAACAGGTGTTCTTCTCTTCTGTCGTGCCAATGGAAGCAGAAGATAAACCTGCTCTGGGGGTTTAGCAGCAATCAAAGCTCAATCCCTCCCCTACGGCATCTTCACAGAATGGTTGGGGTACACACTAAGGGGCTGAGGAGAAGCTCTGCCAAAGCACAAGCAGCATGGCTGTGAGTCCTCAGCTTCAGCACGCTGTTTGCCTTTGTAGCGGGAAGCATCAATAGCACCTTTATGATTAACTCTTCCTCAGTTCAGGTTTTTATGATACCTCTTTAGGTCTATCAGAATTTAAAAGGAGTGAAAAATACTTCAAAGCAATCTAGACACTGACTTTCCACATAGCTTTCCTTTACCTTTTTTGTGGTGGTATGATTTAATGAAAAAAAACCCAAACAAACCAGCCCATAATCATTAAACCTAATAAATTTCAAAGGGCATTCTCTCCTCTTTTTAACAATCCTTGGAGAGGTGATCCTTGTCCAAGATTGGTAAGAAGTCTTCTTCAGCATTGCCAGAAGATTAATAACCCAAACAAAGCTGTTTTTATACTCAAATGGCTTCTCACAGCAGTAACCAGTTCTAGCAAATTCATTGATTTAAAAAACACCAGCAGAGGTGAGAACAGACATACAGCACTAAATATTTCTCATAAAGCCCAAACACAAGTACTTCAACTACAGATTTTAAAAAAGCAAACCTTACCATTTAATGAATACACATTTTCGCATTAAGCATAAACCATCTTCCAGCTATAAAAACGTTTCCTTAAAGTTCAACGAACTCTAAAGATTTTATGTGCAGATTTAAAACCATCTTCTGAGAGACAACGGGAGAGAAGAGACAGCAAACACTCCTGAAGCGTATTTGGTGAGCTTGCTAAATTAACATCACCTCTAGTGAGAGATGGAGAACCAGAACCAACACTTGTGTCTTTCAACACGCAGAAGTGTTCTGCTTCTCAGCAAGACAGAGAATGAAGCAAGTAATCTGTTATGATCTGTAACGCGTTCACCTCTCAGTCACAGTTCATCTTGCCAGGAAATGCTGCCACATGATTTTTTGTCTCAATAAACACCGAGAGCTGACATTACGTACAAATAAACTAAACGGACACTATAAAGCTATTCGCCAGCAGATGTGGAACTGACTCTGGAGGCAAATATCATTTAGGATCACCTAAAAAGTTCCCGGCAGTTAGATCATTAGCCTGAGCGTGCTGTGGAAGGAAAGCAGCTAGCAAAAGCACAAAAACTGTGCATGTGCTTTCCAGGCAACTTAGGTGTAAAAGAAGAGCTCTAAACGTGTCTGAAAATTTAGAAAATGTCTATTTTAAGCAAATTTACACATGCAGCTTATTAATAACAATCCTTTTTGCATCAATATTAAGAGTTACCTTGTCAATTATGCAGTTTACTGTTACTGTGGGGAACGTGGGAATGAGGGAAGAAAAGGAAGTTAAAAACTTTTAACTACCTGAATGTAGTCAACTGGATTCTTTCCTTCTCCCTCTTCAGAAACGAGTGCTTTGCCTTGCTCTCTCAGGTAGGAGCTCATGCACTCGCACATCGTCTTCAGACCGTTTGGCACACGACTGAACAACTTGTACATGCAAGCAAGGTCTGGAAACAAGAAGGAGACGTTATGCAGGACACCCTCTGTCTGTTATGCTTCTGGAACTCATTCATTTCATAGCAACAGACGACAGTAAAAGTTGAGCCACTTCAGCCCCAAAAAGCATCCCGTAACAGCTCAGGCACTGTCCTCTTCTGATGTCCCCTCTCCTTTGCCCCTGACAACACGCTGACCCCAGGAGCCACAAAATTGAAAACAAAGGTTGTATTCAACTGTTCTAGGTCGTCTGTAGCACAGCATCTGCTATTGCTGATCCCGGGCCAGCAAAAGTTGATGCCTGCGCTAGAGAATGGTACACTTAAGTATGCAGCTTCCAAGGTTATCATCCCAAAAACCAAATACTGCATTAAAAGTTGTAAGAAGAATCTAAGTTAAGGCAAATAGGAAAACATTAATGAGATACTTGTTGAGATTAACAAGACACTTGCTTGCATTAAAAGCAAAAACTGGTTAAAGTTGGAGTTTAATTCATATTTGTCTTAAAGTCAGCCATATAATTTTACACTACTTTGCTTCATCCATCCAGAATCATGGTAAGTGCCTTAGCTCAAACACGGATTCCCAAAAGAGCAATCCATCCCTGTACATTTATGAGATCTTATCTTCACAATGCAAGAAGCATTTCCCCTCTGGTGTTTAACTAAATCAAAGCAAGGCCTATGAAAGTTAAACTAATTCCTGCATCTTATGAATACCCTTCAATATCCTTGTACCTTCAGCCTGAAGGCTATCTTTTTAAAGTATGTTTTAAGTACAGTATCACCACTTCCCTTTACAATGCAGTAATTCTCTTTTCTTACAGCTAAGAACTTTTCTCACTTTGTTGCTCTGACTGTCACCGAGGAACTGAGAAACTGCTTTAACGAACAAAGGACATTAATCTGAGAAGCAAGTCTGTTCTCCATCCTCACAGCTTGAGTGTGAGCACCGATTTCTAAACACAGATGCTACAGTCACTCTATTACGCTGCTTTGGAAACTTAAGTTCTATCTCTTTCAATAGCAACTTCCACTCAGTCGTGCTATCCCACATTAACCTCTACTAGGGAAAAACCAAATCAAGACAAGTCCTCCTTTTTCAATCACTTTGACAAGCTGTTTCTTAACCTTCAAAACCAGCCATTTTTCCTGCAACAAAGCCCCCTCCCCAGGAACTGGTCCTGCAGTGCTGCTGTTAAATAACTCGTTTACACTAGCACTTTTTACAGAACTGTCTGTGAGCCAAAAACCTTCGATGCATTTTTGACAGCTACATACTAGAGAAATGAAAGTAATGAAATGGCTCATGGTAAACAGGTAACAAAGACCAATACAATAAAAATTGTACTTTTAGTTAAGAGATACTTGGCTTTCCAAAAAAGTACCTGTACCTAGTACTAAACAGAAACAAGTTATACATATGGCCTCTGTTTTAAGAGCCTTCTGAACGTTTCTGAAGTAATATTTATAGACGTTCGCAAAACAGAGTCACCAAAGTCACACAGAATCACAGACCGTTAGGGATTGGAAGGGACCTCAAAAGCTCATCCAGTCCAATCCCCCTGCCGGAGCAGGAACACCCAGATGAGGTTACACAGGAAGGCGTCCAGGCGGGTTTTGAATGTCTGCAGAGAAGGAGACTCCACAACCTCTCTGGGCAGCCTGGGCCAGGGCTCTGTCACCCTCACTGAGAAGAAGTTTCTTCTCCAATTGAAGTGGAACCTCCTGTGTTCCAGTTTGTGTCCGTTACCCCTTGTCCTATCATTGTTTGTCACCGAGAAGAGCCTGGCTCCATCCTCGTGACACTCACCCTTTAAATATTTATAAATATGAATGAGGTCTCCCCTCAGTCTCCTCTTCTGCAAACTAAAGAGCCCCAGCTCCCTCAGCCGCTCCTCAGAAGGGAGATACTCCACTCCCTCCATCATCTTTGTAGCCCTCCACTGGACTCTCTCCAGCAGTTCCTGTCCTTCTTGAACTGAGGGGCCCAGAACTGGACACAATATTCCAGATGTGGTCTCACCAGGGCAGAGTAGAGGGGAAGGAGAACCTCTCTGCCCTACAATCACCCCCCTCCTGATACACCCCAGGATGCCATTGGCCTTCTTGGCCACAAGGGCACAGTGCTGTAAAGTGTTTTTACAATGACACACAAACACAAACCATAAAGCTCACACGTTAAAAACAAGCAGCATCATCATAAGCATTTCTGTCTCCCATACAAGGCAGTCTTACCTTCTGTCTTTCCATTTTTCAGCATATGAACTAGCCCAGAGTTCTCCATTTCCACTATAGTTTTCATGTGCTTGGAAATAAGCTCTCTTTCAACAACTTTCACAATCGGTTCTTCCGTTGATTTATCCAGACAATGCATCACCCGTTCTATTTCTTCATTAATTCTAGCTTCTACTTTCTTTATATATACGGAAGCACTGTTTTCAGCTAAAAATTTCTGACTTTCCATCTGTGATTAACACAAATTAAGACTTGTTTTAAAAACAAGGGAAAAAGGAAATGTACTGGCTATTTCAGATCAGCATTCATAAGCAAGTTCAAATCAAACCCAGCACGTCCAGCAAATGCAACCATTACACCACCAAGATTTACACACATGCTTAACCATAAAATAGGAGTTCTATTATACTAGTTGTGTTACACACATCAGGAGGTACATGTAATAAGAACGTGATATTTTTCATACTAAAACAATATAAGCCAACCTAGTTTCCAGTTACCAACTAGGGTCTTAGCAACAGGTCCAAAGAAAACAGAAGGATGGGCAGACGGAAAAGGCAAAGATTCCTTTCAAATACCAGTTTATGGCGTATTTCTGGGTTGTGAGGATCAACAGTTCTCACTGTTCTTGTCAGTGGCAATGCTGAGCACGTTATTTCACATCAAACTGTTTTTATCCATACTGGTCAGCATAACCTTTGCATGGGAAGTTTGTTTCGGTGCTGGTTTTGGTTGGGTTTGGGTTACCGTTTGGTTGCTTTTGTTTGTTTGTGGGGTTCTTGCGGGTTTTTGTTTGTTTTTTAAAGGCAGAGCTAAGAAATCAAACTTAGACGGATGCAATTAGTTCTTCTTTATTCTATGTAGCACCAACGAAGAAAAGAATGCAATGACCTTTAAAAGGTCGTGCAACATATGCTTCTGATTTTCAGAGAGGTGTGGAGATCAGAGGGTGACAGACAGTCAAGCCTGTGTAAGACCTGGGAGACTGACAGGTTATCTTATCTAGCTATCTTTTAACATGCTTTGTGATTTCAATCAATTTTCAGCAATAGAGGAGCACGATTGCACTCAACCACCATTCAGCTGGCTTTTTTCATGAAACTATCTCACAAAAAAACCCTCAGGAAATATTTAAAACGTGCTGTGGCTGGTCAACAACTGGATAGCCACACGGATACACTCCATTCCTTGACTTGGTTCATTTCGGTCACTCTGTAAAACGTGTGTTACCTTTCCCACAAAGATAGTCTATTTTTTTCCCTCATTTCATTGAACAGAGGTGGACGTACTTCTCAAATCAGTAGCACTTAAAGTGCCACCAACACTCACAACTCCAAGAAGCCGTAACAACATCCCAAACGCGGTATTACAACAGTGCTTTACCTGAAAAAATTCTGCAGACATCTCCAAAAACGGAGCCTCAAAGTCTTCTTCGTAGACTGACCTTCCTTCAAGACCTAGAATCATTAACATCTGGCAAGCATTTCTTATTGCGCCTCTGCCAAAAAGTAAGTTGTTAACAACTTGAGAAATCTACGTGCTTGGAAGACAGCGTACACAGCAGAATAACAACTCAGAACATAACATCAACTTCAATAACATACAGCAATAGAAAGGCCACCCTAAGTGTTTGGTACATGCCAGGTTTTCAAGAAGATTACAGGAGTGAGGTTGTTTGCTTCTGTTCTAAACTAAGGAGCTGACAAAGTTTATTAAATATTTTAAATACAATTACAGGAAAACAGGTTTTCAAGTTCCACTAACTTGGAAAACTATTAAAGATATATTTCAACATACTGGAAAATAATCAAAAAATCTACTTCAAAGCAAGCTGAAAACTGCACACGTAGGTTGGAACTGAGCAATTCAAAACAACTGCACAGACGAACGATGCTGTGCAGAAGGTGGGGGTTTTGTGGGACTGTTCTTGTTTCGTTGGGTTTGTTTTGGTTTGGGTTGCTTTTTCTTTTTTTCTTCTTTAAAAAAGGACACAAATGGAAGTGCATGGGCAAATAAAATATGGAAATAACAGAAATGCATCCAGGAAAAAATTCCACTTTCTGGCAGTAGGGGACAACACACGGCTGCTGCCAGGGAGTGTTTCTCTCTTTATAAATCGTGTTGGGCAATCCCAATCACAGAACTGCAGCCAAAGCAGCATGGAGTTGACACATCTCCACTCCCAACAGCTGCTCTGAAACTGGAGAAGCACAAGAAAATCTGCAAATTCGAAGTGACTTCAGCTGAAGAATCTCCAGTGTGTGCACAAAACTCCGCACTGACTAAACTGGCTGGAGATCACAAGGAACAGATTTGAAAAAGCTCAGAGATGCAACTGAACTAGCAAGAAACAGAGAGATCAAACCATGAGGAAGGGAAATAGAATTTAAAAAGGAAACTAAAACTATAACAGCGATAACAATAATTAAAAAAATAATAAAAATAACAACAAACGGGTATAAGAAAGTTAAGCAACCTCTCAGCACAGAGGTAACAAGAGGCAGAGAACTTTTATCACCAAACACTGGCACAAGGTGGTAAGGGAAACATTTAACTCAAGTTTTAATTAAAAAAATACGATAAATATTACAAAATATACTGATGAGATTCCCCATTTACCGTTCTGGTTAAAGTTTAATGTACAAAGAAATACGTTACTCCAGATCATAAAGAAATGTCGCTTGTGATCAGAAATGCAGACTTAAGCGCTGATTTATTTGTATGTTCTTGTTTCACTCCAAAAACGGCGGGTGTTTTCCACTACAACAGACAGACTCTTACAAACACCTTACCTGTCCACAACTTCTCCTTTCCTCTCTCTTGCAATCATATCCAGCAGAGTTTGCCGCAGGTGGTCCCTAATGCAGCCGTAGCGTACAACTTGATCGCGAAAAATGATCAAGCCCAAGTTGTAGACGTTCTCCACGTTGTTCTGCTGTACGTACACACGGTCCTACAACAGAGGCACACACAGCAACATTAAGTTCGGTACACCCATGCTATTCAGAATTGCGAGAGAGACTTTCTAGAACACGCAAATAAATCAAATCAAATTTCTCTGTAGGAAAAAAGGAGACAAGATTAATTGCGAGTACCCTCAAAGTTCACAATCGGTCCCATTTTCCACAATCTTATTTGCACAGGAAGTCTACTTTGCTTAAGAATGTAGTAAGCACAGCATTCATGACTAAAGCATGCCACAACAAATCGACAGCCCGGCCACTTTTCAGTTTTGGGGCAGCGGAACCCCCAATTACTGACAAAATTCATGGTACAACCTGAAAGAGGCTTTACTTGTCTGCTCAAACCCCTTCCACCCACCCCTTTTTGTTCTTTAAAAACTGTTAATTTTTCTCCATCTCTCATGCATCCTCCTACCACTTCTTTCACGCAGACAGTTCCCCCTCAATATTGCATGAAACTTCCTAAAATAGCATCATTAGATGAACAGAAGAAAAAGTAAAGCCAAAATGAGAGTAGTTACAATCAAAATGTTTATGGATTGGCACTGCAAAATTGTACTTAAGGATTTCTGTTCAGCCCCCATAATAAAAATAATTCACTTTCATTCAACTCGAGTATCTTGCAACGTTGTGACGCTTCGTTAACGTCACACACATACACACACTCCCCCCAAAAACGAAAAGAAAGGGGAGAGAAGGAAGAATAACTGTTGTGTTTCGACATGGGTTTAAAGTCTATCTCCTTACACAACCTCCGTCTACAGGAATGAGCAAGCTCCTCAGCTACTCTCTAGCCCTCTACCACCGACGCTGACAACTCAAGGCAGGTCCTCAGAGCAGTATCCCAAGTCCATGGCACAAGCACCACTGGACAGAGTTGACTCAAACATTGCGGAGCAGACACCCCGAGTTTCTTACTGCTATCCACAGATACGCCCCAAAGTTTTCCTGCCCTTTTCTAGTCCTCTCTCCCAGCTTAGCAACTCTCTAGAAAAGGAAGAGTATTAATAAAGTGACTACCAGACAGGAAATGTGTGTTCACTTTATAGCCAGGAGTGCTGTATCAGATAAGACCCTTTAAAACAGAATCACAGAATCACAGAATCTCAGGAGTTGGAAGGAACCTGGAAAGCTCCCCCAGTGCAACCCCTGCCAGAGCAGGATCACCAGAGCAGTCACACAGGAACACGGCCAGGGGGGTTTTGAATGTCTGCAGAGAAGGAGACTCCACAACCTCTCTGGGCAGCCTGGGCCAGGGCTCTGGCACCCTCACACCGACAAACTTTGTCCTCATGTTCAGCTTGAAC